TCCTTCATCGCTTTTTGTACTTTCTTTAACTCATTTGAAATCTCTTCAAGCTTCTCTTTTAACTTGTCATTTTCAACTTTCAATGTTTGGACAGTTTTCTTTCCAGTTTTTACTCTTTCTTACTCGAAATTTAAAAATCTTTTGCTAAATTAAAGAGCTTTCGAAGTTGCGTCCGATCCATACGCCTACATGCACACCACTTGAGTCGAGGATTCGGGGAAACCTGGCGAGATGGTTCGCTATTTACTGATTGCCTGACAGAAATGATTTTAGCTACCTTGATTGGCCTAATTCAAATTTTGCCAAGCTAGATTTTCCACGCTTTGACGGTTGTTTTGTAGATACGCGGGATAGCACAGACCTTACTGTGTCAGAAACAACGATCGATTGATATAAACATACCACTTATAATCAAAATACGTCTCATTTTAAAACTTTCGCCCCGATGAAGACAAAATGAGTTGACAAACCTGCAGCACTCCTCTTTGGGGCCAACAAGCTAAGATTTAAAACAAACAGGAAAATGAAAATGGATTTCATCTTGAAATTAGTGGGCGACTTGGGTGGCCTTTTCGATCCTCGGTCTGCGCCGTAACTTTGCTTGAATGAGTCCTTGTTTCAAGCCGCACGAAAATATAATTTAATCCACTAACGCAACTAACCACTTACAATGATTGACAGAAAATTACAGTCCTTGCATATTGAGACAAAACGATTAAGTTTCCAAAAAATGTCGAAGGGCATCCAAGAAACTCAATACCGCCTAAAAGCAAGGCTGGAGAACTACTGAAGTTTTCTTTGTAAAGTATTTTATCCCAGGCTTTATAGCTAAGCCGCGAATAAACGATCAAGAGACTATCAGCTCATGCTCTCCTGAAAGCGATACTGTCCCAGAGGACAAGGTCCTTACCGAGGGGCTCACCGGCTTCCATGCTGACTTAGGTCTGATCAGAGAAAAATTTTAGTTAGCTGGCACAATTTGATTTTGGTATTGTCGTGACAGGACAGATAACTGCTCTTTGTGTCACAAACCAATAAATCTGTAAATCACCGACAGAACATGCCGGGTACAACAACTGTTACTTGATAGTCATGTCACGCACTATAACCAGGCTATCCTCAAATGTCATGACACACTACGGCTTAGCTGAGCCGTCCTTGTCGCTGAATCATTCTGCAATTATGAAAATTGCCGTTCATGCCATGAATGCGAAGTTGTTTCCAAAGAGAATATTGTGCGAAAGAGTCCTAAATTTACGTAGCACTCCTAACGCGTAAGCCGCGCGGATCCTCGCGCCTGTTTACATTTTGATTGTTAACGTTCGAAGCCAAACACCTCTCTTTCACTTGCTAATTGAGTCCACTCGCTTTACTTTGACAAGCCTATGGATCATTTTACGCTCCCCTGGTGAGAATGTTTTTCTTGAGCAAAGCTCGTCATGCGGCTGAGTCACGAACTTATTGTTTCTAGGTCTCTGCACATCAAGCAGTTTACTAGAAGAGTCAAGAATGGAAAATGGCGAAAAGCGATCGCGTAAATCCGAGATAAGGTTACCGCCTAAAACAATACTTTCAAGGCATCCAAGAAACTCACTACCGCCTTAAAGCAAGGGTCACGCTCACATGTCTGTCAGCTTATCTCTGGGGAGAATTACTGAAGTTGTCTTTCTAATGTACCTTACCCAAGGCTTGATTGATTGAAGAAGACAGACTCTCGCTGTCGGCAGATAAACCTTTGAGCTTATTCTCGATGGCAGAAACTTTGATTTCGATTTACTGATTGAACCTATTGCATTATTATATAGCTTGCCTAAGTATCAGTTACAAAGATTGCAATATGTACAAAACACGGCGGCTAGAGTTGTGTGTCAAATGAGTAAGTTTCAGCATATCACACCTGTTTTGCAGGAGCTTCACTGACTACCGATCCAATACCGTATTATTTTCAAGATTCTGCTTTTAGTGTATAAATCACTGAATGGGGCATCGCCTAGCTATTTAGCTCAGTTACTACATTATCTTTCTTCTACTAGATCATCTAGGTCTGTCAGTAATGAACTTTTAATGCAACCTAGATCGTATACTAAGACCTACGGAGACAGCATTCGCTTTTCATACGCCAAGAGAATGGAACTTAATACCCTATGAGATTCGGAAGTTTAATACCATCTCGATTTTTAAAAGAGCACTTGAGACGTTCCTGTTTAGTAAATATATTAACAACAGACCATCATTTTATAGATCTATATATATTGCTTTAGATTCAATTTTCTTTTTTAATCATTGTGAATTTTAGCTATGTTTAAGTGTCATACAGTAGGATGTGGTTGCAAATTTGGAAATTTTTATTAATAATGTATGATTCTGTATGATTGTAAAGCGCCTTGAGCAGAGGATACGAGCGCTTTATAAATAAAGTTATTATTATTATTATTAACTCGCCATGCTCTCCACTTCGTACATGGGAGGTTGGCAGATTTGTATCTTATGTAATTTCAATATGGCCACCATCTTGTTGTTCCTTCACGCTTCTTGCACTTTCTTTAACTCATTTGAAATCTCTTGAAGCTTCTCTTTCAACTTGTCATTTTCAATTTTCAATGTTTAGACAGTTTCCTTTCGCATTTCCACTATTTCTTACTCGAAATTTATATATTTTTGTGTTCAATTAAAGAGCTTTCGAAGTTGCGTCCGATCCATACGGACACATGCGCACCACTCGAGTCGAAGATTCGGAGAAACCTGGCGAGAGGGTACGCTATTTACTGATTGCCAGGCAGAAATGATTTTGTCGACCTTGATTGGGCTAATTCAAATTTTGCCAAGCTAGATTTTCCACGCTTTGGCGGTTGTTTTGTAGTTACGCGGGATAGCACAGACCTCACAGTGTCAGAAACAAGGATCGATTGATATAAACATACTATTTACAATTAAAATACGTCTCATTTTGAAAATTTTGTCCTGATAAGGACAAAATGAGTTGACAAACCTACAGCACTCCTCTCTGGGGCTAACAAGCTAAGATTTAAAACGGACAGGAAAATGAAGATGGATTTCATCTTAAAGTTAGTGGGCGACTTGGTTGGCCTCTTTGATCCGCGGTCTGCGCTGTAACTCTTCTGGAATGAGTCCTTATTTCAAGCCGCACGAAAATATAGTTTGATCAACTGACGCAACTAACCGCTCACAATAATCGACAGAAAATTACATTTCTTGCATATTGAGACAAATCGATTAAGTTTCCAAAACATGTCGAGGGGCATCCAAGAAACTGAAAACCACCCAAGTTACCTTTCTAAAGTACCTCATCCAAGGCTTGATCGATTGAAGAAGACAGACTTTCGATGTCGGAAGATAAACCTTTGAGCTTATTCTCGATGGCAGAAACCTTGATTTCGATTTGCTGATAGAGCTCGCCGTGCTCTCCACTTCGTACATGGGAGGTTGGCAGATTTGTATCCTATGTAATTTCAATATGGCCGCCATCTTGTTCCTTCACGCTTCTTGCACTTTCTTTAACTCATTTGAAATCTCTTCAAGCTTCTCTTTTAACTTGTCATTTTCAACTTTCAATGTTTGGACAGTTTTCTTTCCAGTTTTTACTCTTTCTTACTCGAAATTTATAAATCTTTTGCTAAATTAAAGAGCTTTCGAAGTTGCGTCAGATCTATACGCCCACATGCACACCACTCGAGTCGAGGATTCGGAGAAACCTGGCGAGATGGTTCGCTATTTACTGATTGCCTGACAGAAATGATTTTAGCTACCTTGATTGGCCTAATTCAAATTTTGCCAAGCTAGATTTTCCACGCTTTGACGGTTGTTTTGTACTTACGCGGGATAGCACAGACCTCACCGTGTCAGAAACAACGATCGATTGATATAAGCATACTACTTACAATGAAAATACGTCTCATTTTAAAACTTTCGCCCCGATGAAGACAAAATGAGTTGACAAACCTGCAGTACTCCTCTTTGGGGCCAACAAGCCAAGATTTAAAACGAACAGGAAAATGAAAATGGATTTCATCTTGAAATTAGTGGGCGACTTGGGTGGCCTTTTCGATCCTCGGTCTGCGCCGTAACTCTGCTTGAATGAGTCTTTATTTCAAGCCGCACGAAAATACAGTTTAATCCACTGACGCAACTAACCACTTACAATGATTGACAGAAAATTACAGTCCTTGCATATTGAGACAAAACGATTAAGTTTCCCAAAAATGTCGAAGGGCATCCAAGAAACTCAATACCGCCTAAAAGCAAGGCTGGAGAACTACTGAAGTTTTCTTACTAAAGTACCTTATCCCTCGGCCGACCGGAGTTAGCACATCATTATGATCACCACTTAACTTTCTTGAATGAAGATAATTATGACAAAGAACGGTTTATGACTTACTCACTAGTTTTTCGTAATTTTTTTCTCTCTCTTTTGTAAGAGACGGCGAAACCCATAGAGAGACGTAGCAAATGACGCTGGTGTGAGTCGCACGTGACCCGCGAGGGCGGGAATAGTGCATGTTTTATGTATGCCTACTCGTTCCATCGTTTACAAAATTTTTCCTCTCTTGCATAGTCATGGATTGTTTGTATCTTTAATCAACTTCTAGTCACACTGGTCTTGTCGATCTTGCGAGGATTTAGTTATTGAATTTCATCTATGATAAAGAAATCTACTGCTTTCACCTTTTAGAACTGTTTTGAAAATGTTTTTTTGCCGTTCAACCCAGACTTTTTAACTAGTGGTACGCGAAGCGTAGGAACGAATTTTGCGAGAACTCCGATGTGCAAATGCGTCTCACTCACTCACTCTCCTTGGCGTAGACATTGTGGTAATTAGTCATCTCCGAACTCGCCCGAGCCCGACGCCATATTGGATGGAAGGGAGAAGGAAATCGACCGAGGTAGCATCCCGTGGAGGCAGAGGTGAGACGCGTTGCAATGTCGGTGTGTGTTTGTTTGTATACTTCTTATTACCACATAAACTACTACAACATCTGTTCAAAATTCGAAATGGCTGACAATTCTATTTAATGTTATACTGCACGTGTGTACTTACTTCCCTCTTTTTACAGCAAATCTACGTTTCGGATCACATAACTAACAATTTTGTTCCTAAGGTGGAGATATCCTTAAACATGAACGTATAAAAATAAAACATACAGCACTGTTGCCAACAGTTGTCATTGTTGGAAACAAATGTCCGAGCTAATAAATCTTTAAAATGTAATTACATGCTACGCCATTTCCAAAATAAAAACTTCCCACTTACAAAAATAGACTTTACACATTATTTACACAGAAATCTACAACACTTATTAATCATCACGAAATATTTCAGACGCTCCATAAGAAAATTCATCAAAATATTGTCATTTAGTTGTTTCAAGGTCGGGTCCACCATAAATAATTCTTTCTTTAATATTAACTTTTTGTAACGAGAAAGGGCATTTTTTCAATGGAGTGTCGAAGTAATCCGAGACTTCTTTGGTGTTACTCTACTTCTTTTTGTGATTGGTCCAGAAAACTCGCGCCTCTCTCTTAACCAATAAAATGTAAAACTGAAACCGCTGACGACTTGGTCGCCCACATTTTTCCCGCGCTGTGGGTATTTTTCTTGTTAGGCTCTCATTGGCTTTTAAAGGTATTTTCTACTCTTCTGATTGGCCGTTTAAAGAATTTATGATACATTTATTTAACTTTTATATCACATTTTAAAAGGCAAAATAAATTTCACATCCACCTCTCTCGTGCGAAAAGCAATTGTTTTCTTAGAAAAAATAAAATTTTACTGTAATGTTTAAAAGTGCCTACAGAGTTAATGATGAACCCCCTTTATGTATGCATCACAAAGTTGGAAATGATTTAAGTGGTGCAGGTGAATATAGTAGCAGTTCCCCATTGGAAACGCAATGTTGTTTTTGAAGGCGTATTTCTCCATGCAACCGAAGAGTACTCCTTGTGAATAAGTCTTTGTTGTTAGCTATTCTTCAAAACAAACTGAAGGTCTTCAGGAAGAGTTCTGATAATTGATGAAAGGTGACCTTTCAACTGTTGTTTGACATCAAGGCTCACAGGAGGGTACAGAGACGCTGAACCAGCCTGAAAGATTTATAAACCTGATTAGATTCCAGGAAAGAAACTCTCGATGCAGCACATCACACAGCATCACAAGGGGCCAAGTTTCTACAGAAAATGTGGTGCTGCGTCAGTGGGTGAGTATAACGGGGTAATTTAGTATTATCAACTGAGTTGATAACGTAACTTGGCCATCGTAAAGAGTTTTAAGGATGACGTTTCGAGCGTTAGCCCTTCGTCAGGGCGAAAGGTTATTCGCTCTGACGAAGAGCTAACACACGAAACGTCAGCTTTGAAACTCTTTACGGTGGCCCAATTACGTTATCAACTCAGTTAATAATACCGAATTACCTACAAACTACGGGAAGTCCTTCATTTTCGACGCAATCTGTCGCGCGAGTAAAAAAGAAAACCATCAAAAGCAAAGCCAAGGCACAACTTTAACATACCAGCTTCTCTTTTATCTGTAAGAACAGATCAACTGTCTCAACTTCCTGCTTGTCTTTTATCCAACCTACAACATCCTACGTAAAAACGAGGATGAAAAACTCATTAAAACAACAACAACAGCAACAACAAAACAGCACATTAGTGGACACTAGTGTCTGTAATAGGACGATAGTGTCTGAAATTGGACGATGCCGCCCAAAATTAGACAATAGCGTCCGAAATCGGATGGCAGCGTAAGACGATAGCATCTCAAATCAGACAATCGTATCCAAAATTAAGCGACACCATCCGACATTGGACAATATCGGCGTCTGAGGTTGGATAATAGCGCAAAATCAAAGGTGTCCAAAATCAAGCGATAGCGTCTAAAATTGTAAAATAGCGTCCGAAGGATTATTGAATAAAACTCTACTTACAGCCTTTCCAAGGGCTTCTAGATGAAGAAGTTCCAGCTTCTGTCTTATCTCTTGTTGCCGATGTCTCAACCAACCTTCAAAGTTTGCAGATCTAAAAAATTTCCTTAAGATAACAGGTAAAACAAAACATCAGCAAGCGACCAATTCATAAAGTCAAAAATTTCCTCAAACAAGCAATAGTTAGGCTCAGGCAGTTTCTGTCAATTGATGTTTATCGCGAAGTGATATATTCGCTGAAAAGCTCTTAAAACTGTCGCCGAATTATCACTCAGCAAAATGTACGAGAGAAATTTTTTGGCTCGCTGTTCCCTCCATAGAGCGTGCCTCGCTTGAGTGTTGTAAAACCAAAATAATCATAACAGCTAGTCAAAACAAAGGAAGTAAGAAAGGAAACGATACGAACTTAAAGATGCTCTTGATTGAGAGGGGGCACAATTCTTTACCAACCATTATTTTCTCGTCCTCAAAATAGAACATTATCGACATTCAGATCCTAAACGCGTGCAGGGCAAGTTTCCAATAACATCAGCCTACTTTATCTTTTAGCTCTCCTCGAGTATATTAACCCTTTACACCCTAACATCAGTATGCATATTCTCCCTTCTATTCTCTACACATTTCTTGGGGTGCTGACAAGGAGAATTTGTTTGTTTAACAATCAAGAGCGTTTTTTTTTTTCCTTTGGTGATCATATCCTCATTAACGATAAATTAGTTACGAGTCTGAGGGTTAAATGCTATTTATGTAGCTCCATAGAAAAGCATTTGACGTTTGAACGGCTTATTACTGGTAAGACTCCGACTGAAAACATATTTCAGTAATTTCCCTTACATTATGTTTATCAAAGACTTCACAAAGTGATCGAGTTTCTATTGTTACCTGTACAGTCCTACCCAGTTCCCCTTCAACCTGGATGTCAACTGTGGTCCAGAATGCTCCAAAGTTGTGAGAAATTCGTCTGCATCAAAAGGCTGCAATCTAGGAGGATGCTATGGAAAAACAGAAAAAACCCTTTCAGTCCCAAGATCTCATTTATTTAGTAATTCTCCTGACTGTCCCTCATACAATCCTCATGATATCAGTTTGGAGAATTTAGTTTTGGATCAACTAACAATTCGCTAACTGATATTTTATCTATATTCTCCTCACTTTTCTGCTTGATATGTATTGTTAATGTAAGGAGAAATTTTGTCTTGGTCAATTATTGGAGTCAAAGTTTTAAGATGCTGACAGTAAAGATACAGTGGAGATACAGATGAAAGAAAGCTGCAATGATGATAGAGAGAGGTATGTCCAGAAATGCATGCAGTAACGAAAATGGCGAACATTCGCCAAAATCGTCAAATCCAATAACCTGATTTCGCTTTGAAGAATTTGACTAAAATTCGCCAAAATCGCCAAATCCATGAACATTCGCTCGGTTTGACGAAATTTTGTCAAATCTGCCATTTTCGTTACCGCGTGCATTTCTGGTCATAACCAGATAGTGGTGATAATGTAAATAACCATGACATTGACTGAGATATACATATAAAGACAATGAGAATGATGCTAAAAAAGGACGGAAATCACTATTAAAAACGATCCATGAATTTTTAACAGAAATCCGTATTTCGAACTAAAGCAAATCCACCGCAAGCCATGTGCACTTTGCTATCAAAAGGGGATTGAAATATCACATTAATATCATTAAATCAAATAGCATCCATTTCTTACCTTCCAAGGAGAGATACTTCTCTGCAGAGGCATAAGACTAGCAACATATCTTTCCTGCGCAAGAAAAAAACGAGAGTATCATCTTTAACCTTTTAACTCCCTTGATCTGATTGTTAATTCTCACCTCGGTTGCTACACATTTCCTTGTAAATTAGTTACAAGACTTTGGTGCGAGATCAAGATAACAACTTCCACCTGATAAGTTGTAGTACTCTCAATACTTATTTGCTGGTTAATGTATGAATATTATAGGGAGAAGTTGCATATTATTCACCTGTGGGAGTTAAAGGGTTTACGATATGTAGATAAAACATAACAATTTACAGGTCTTATACACCATAAATCAGTGAGCAAATCAATGGCTTGTTTCGTTGAGATTCAAAAACCATTGTCGTTCATTTTTATGAGAAAGATTCATAATTGCTATAACTAACTCAGTCGCAATTGGACCGAACCGGACGGCTCTTTCGAATACGAGCTTGCACCTCAATGTCTCGGTCTGTTCCTTGTTCTTAATCTGATTTATGGTACAGATGAAAAAATAAGCGTCGGACAGAATGCAGAACGGATAATGGGGGAGGGGAGGGGCCTGGAGAGAACGATTACGACACATCCTGAGAGGGGGAAGGGGTAGGTCGGAGTCCGCAATTTGTATTTGACCTACATGAGGCGTGTTTTCCAAGGGCCATTTCAGACTATTTTGTAATCTTACCAGTGGAATCATGAAGCTCTGTGTAAGTTCTAACATGTGTCTCCTTAAAATGGCATTCTGTGAACAAAAAACAAATGGAAGGAAACACACATTAGCCCAAGTTATCACAGTCACAAAACCGTGTTTTCGAAATAAGTTATCTAATACTATCCTCTTCTAGGGAGGGGGGGGGGCTTACACTTGTTGAGAAGTTTAAAAATTTATTGTAATTATCAAAATTTTAAAGAAGTGACATCATGGTTTGTGTAGCGAGAAAGGGAGCCAATAATTTTCAACCTGGTCATTACCTGAACTTCCGGAGGTCTTTTTGGATGGTTACCCTGTTGATTACAAGTAACAAACGCAACAGAAAAAGTAAAATTTTTGTCTTGACATTCATACAACATTTCAGTAAACACATATGATCTTCAAGGCATATATTTCTGAGTTTTTCAGCAACGGCGCAGTTGTATGGATTAAAGTTTAATGTTACATCTAATGGTATTATAGCACATAAGACCACAATACACACCTTGCTTAGTCTTCTAAATATAAGTTTATCCTTTGATAGAAATTGCTTGTACTTTGTGTAAATTCCTGAAGCGAAATAAAAGGCTCTAAATATAAAAATTATGGCAGTATACCAATCTTTAGAGTTTCTTGTTAAAATCTTGTGAGCACGCCCTCATTACTACAGCACGACTGTTTCTTCGCCCGTGGTTATGTCTAGGACATTGAACAACGCAAGCCAGCAAGGGGTCTCCGATGCATCTAGCACTGAGAAACATGAGTGCCACTCCCCTCACAAAACTCTCCTCAACTGGTCTCAAGAGCAGAAAAAACATCTTGCGGCACTAAAAATGTGACTCTTTGCAGGGTAAAATTTGGCTGTCTTCTAATTCATGGCTTTGGAAAGTGAAGCAAACAAGCTTCAGCTTTCTGAATTTCTTGTCCAGTTGGTTAGAAAATATTAACTTAAAGCTTTCGGTCATTTCTTTCATTCCAAGTCCAAGGAAAAAAATTGAGAAATTCTCCCTAAAATTTGTCACGAACACAGGTGTTTAGAATTTGGAAAATCATCATCTTGCAGATTTTTCCGCGAAAGAACGCGGCATAAACAACCAACAAAGAAATGTATTGGGGTAGGAGAAAAGAGAGAAATAAGTTTTCAGAGGTACAGTTCCTGGGAGTGAGTGGGTGAAGCAGATTGGGCTAGAAATAAAAGAAAAGATAAAATAACCTGATTTTGAACCTTCCTCGTCAGAGATATCATTATTAAGTTCTCCTATACCACAATCACGCCATTACTTTACCTGGCTTTGACGACAACGTTCTTTTGGCATTTTGACCAACACCGGGAGATCTCCTTGATGATATAACTAGAAGAAATGAGAAGAATGACAGCCAGTCAGTCCTGAGACTAATACACCGAAACGCCGTGTTAAGGGGCATGAGCAAGATTGTCCAGTCGGGGAGGGGGTGGGGGGAAGGAATCTTACTCTGTAGCCTCTTAATGGTGTTATAGGAAAACCCGGGTAACTAAAAGCTATGAATGACGAAAAATGCTTGATGTCTATCAATACCTACTTGCCCTGATTTTACAAATAGATTCCATGCTATATTTTGTAATGACTGATCACAAATAACATCAATAAGTGACAACCAACTAAAGACAAACATGTCTGTCCATTGCATGAAACTTTCAAACGTGCTTGCTTTCAAAAATGTCGCGGCCCAAGAGATTCATTAAGATCACTGATCACTTCACATACACCTCTGCCAATGTCATCTATTACATAACTTGCACCTATTGCTAAAAGTAATACATTGGTGAAACAGGAAGACAACTAGGTGACTAGGTGATTAAGAGTAAACAGTTTAGCCCAAGAACACGATACAAAAATCCAACTCAGCATACAGCTGACTAACTATTAGGTTAATGCATCTCCCACGCGGCAGGTGAGTAGACTACTAAAAGTTTGCATAATGACTGGGTATTCATAGCTTACAATGCAATTATCTGAGTTTCCAAAACTCAGAAGGACACTTACCAAGATTTGACATTTCTCCTATTCTGACCATGTGCGGCCAGTGTTGAAGAGTTTTGGCGAAGAAAGGATTTGTGACCCCAAGAATGACTCCTGGCCTAAAATCACAGTTACAATCCTCAGTTATTATTATAAATTATTATTATTATTATTATTATTATTATCACAAATGCTGCAATTTGATTGGCATTACCTCCCTCCTATTCCACCATTACGCCATAGAGATCTCTAGCTTAGAATCAAAATGTTAAAAAGAGTATGCCCATGAGGGAAAAAAATCACAGGCACTAACTTAACTTACCTCATCCTTAAGGACAACTATTTATCAGAATTAAATACTAATGCAGAGAGATTAGAAAAACTTACGGAGCTTGGGTTCTTGTGGTATATTCCTTAAACTCTGTGTCATGAATAGTGAAGAACGGTCTGTAATCTGCACAGTAGTGTAACGGTGAGATCAAACTATAAAAAAACAAACAAACAACCATCTTGATCAGCCCTATACAATGAAAATTTTTGTAATCTCTTAATTCACTGCAAGTGACCCAAAATAATCAGTCAGACATCATTTTATGAAAAGGAAATGTTTGCTTCGTATCAGGTCATTACACTGCAGCTGTAGTTTTGAAAACTTATGCCACTGTCTCTAGGCCACTGTCTGAAGAAACAGGTCCAGTGATAAAGGAAACAAGCTAGAGATTAACAGAGCATGTTTACTTTTAGTCATGGTGCATTGTGCAATGATCATGCAGGAAAAAATGGAACTAGGAAACAAACCCCTGCCCAGGACCTTGACACAACTGTGTATAAATCAACATTGTTGCTGCTGCAGTCTCCACCAAGACATAAAATGCTCTCTTTAAACAATTGCCTGTTTTCCATCTGAGTTCTCAAGGGCTCCTGATTGGCTGTTGATTACTTTGGCTTTGATCTTACAATGCCCAATGAAAATGCTCTTTTTAAGAACATGATGGTGTTAGCCACCTTATTATAAGTAAATTATTATTTTGCCTTTGACTTGTGCAAGTGTCCTAAATCCTTTCAGAAAAGAACATCTTCGTAATAAAATAGCACTTGAAATTTTGGTATCATAGAGTTACTGTGAACTTCATTTTTCAAAACATGCACATACAAAGTTCTATTTTGTTTGGCTTATCATACACAGTTATATGACTCGGAAAACATACTGACTAAATTTAGCAGGCTTTTGAAACTCCCTAACTTAGATCTTTTTACTTCCATCATATCATTAGTTACATGTACAAATCAAGAGTACAAAATGCATACATTATGTGTATTATGAACTGTGTGTTCTGGATCTGTGACTCCAGAATAATTCATTTACCTTGCAAGAGCTTGAACAGTCTCTGAACAAATTGTAGGTGAAGGAGCCATCACAACAATAGGCTAATAGGAAGGAAGTGAAGCATAAATCCATTAATAAAGGGATGCCATACCAAAAGTTAATTGAATCTATAGAAAGTTAAAGTTCTGTACTACCTCATTGGTCAATGCTAACTCCCATAAGAGATGAATATGTGGAAGAACCGATTGCAAGCATCTGAAAATAAAAATCAAATAATGTTATAAACAACTACAATTAATTGTTCATTGTCTCTAATCTGTCTGGGAATCAGGATGGATTAGGGAGGGCATGTCTTGAACACTAGGGGCAAATCTAGGATTTTAAGGGTAGCATGCTACAAAAGCCTCCAATCCCTGACTGTAAGGAACAAGAAATACCTCACTTAAAATGTAAAATCGTGTAATAAGAGAAATCTGAACTGCATTTATTTATTTTTTTAATTACTACTCGTAAATAAAATAAATAAATAATTGGGATTTTGCAGTGGACATTCCCTGAAGTGGCTCTTCTTTTCCACTGTTTTCAGGCTGAATCAGAACCTAGAATGTTGGTTTTTGTGGAGGAAGAAAACTGGAGGAACTGGAGAAAAACCCTTGAAGCAGGGACAAGAAGAAACAATAAAAACTCAACCCACATGTGACACCAGGTCCGGGAATTGAACCTGGGCCACAGTGGAGAGAAGCTAACCCTCTCACCACTGTGCCATCCCTGCTCCCTGAAAGTTAAAGTTTAAAGTTCTAGCAATCAGTTTTAGCTATGTGGGAACTATGATAGTTTTATTTTCAAAGTATGGCTACCAGTGAGCAAAGCTAGTTGCAGTACCTAAAGATGTCTGGGTCCTTCAGAGTTGGGATAACCTTAGGAGATGGCATCTGTGGCTGAAAATGAATAATAAAAAAGCAAATCAGTTTCTGTATCTCTCACACTGTTCACTGATAAAAAATCAAATTTAATCATTAATAAACTCAACACACCACAATATGATTAGGAAGAGGATGGTCTGGTGAGGAAACAGCTCCTGGTTTGTCCCCTCTTGATGGAACTCGAACCTAAAAAATTGGAACACATTAAGATAAAAATTATATATCTGTTTTCAGCTCTTATCAATTAACTCTTGGCCTTTGACTGGCATCTAATTTCTCCTTAAAATATCACTCCTGAATTACACAGTAACCTTTTGACCCCTTATAGTGACTAAGTAGCATCTAATTTCTGCTTACAGTTTCACCCCTGAAGGTAAATATCCACCACTTTCACCAACACTGAGGTAAATAATTGTTAATAGCACACAGATACCTAAAAAGTAAGTTTATTCCAAAAAAATCATCGGAAATCAACCCCTTGACACCTGATTTTGTCTCATCATCTGTTTGGAAGTGAATAGTACTCGCTATTCACTTCCAAACTAGCCAATCACCATGTGCAAAAAATACTATTCAACTGTGTGGTATTTATTAATATTCAATATGCTATTAACCCTTCAAGAAGGTATACAGGGTATATTTGTCAGTTACCCCTTTTTCAATTATAAAAATTTTTTGAAACCATTTTCACCCCTGGCCACCATTTTGAGACCTAAATATGAATTCTACTCACTGTCTCATGTTTCTCGTAATCTTAGCTTTGACAGTTTGGTGTTAACTCAGACAAAATTCCCTAGTTCATAATCTTCTTTCTTCTAATCCCTTCTCTGCTTTAAAATGCATTGATGGTGAAAGGAGAAATTACTTTTTGGTCACTCTTGGGAATCAAAGGATTTACCCTCTACACCCTAACATGAGTATTGAATTCTCTACACTGTTCTCTATGTTATCTCCTACAATATAGACAAAGAGAATTTGTTTGATGATCAGGAGTTTCCTCAGTTGGTGAACCTGTCTCACTCATTCAAAATGTTGAGTCTCCTTAGTTTTAAAACAAAAATGTGAGACTTTTAACAAAAATAATCACTGAATTGGCCAAGCTGTCCATTTGCAACACTTATTCTTTTTTAATTACATTGTTGTATTTGAGGTGGCCTCTCCCATAAGCCCAGTGCTTTCTTGAGGTCTCCCTGCCTTACAATTACAATACTATAAATTTATTTCATGTAATTGTTAGAAAAAGCAAATGAATGGTGATGATTATCATCATCATTTCCTTTATTTTCATGGCCTTAACATTTGATTAAAGGCAGATACTGTGAGGAGAAATTAGAAGCCGCACATTCTTAGGGGTTAAGACTGAGGTCGCTTGTTATTGAGTTTACATATACATTGCAGTTGTTTAGATAACAAAATATTAACGAATACCGTTTTAAATAGAAATTATTTTTGATACCTGCATGACATTTCCCATCAGGGGTAGCTGCAGGGTGTGTCCAGCCTCAGGGTAGGGCCACTGATCAATATCATGACAAACTGCCAAAAATAATTGAAAGTGTTCATGAATTTCATCTGGGACAAGAAAGCTACTCTAACCACAGCCTTTTTTTAATGAAGATTTGTTTTGTGAATAATACCTGTCTCTAAGGAGAGTTCTCCATTCTCAAAGTAGCTTGGAGCTATGAGCTGAACCTGTTGACAAGGAAGGAGAACACATCCCACAAAAATTCAAAATGATTTACTCAAAAAACATTTGCAAAATAATGAACTTACCACCTCCCTGTTAATGATTTCAAATAAAATGAATAAGAGTAGCCCTTAAAAAAGGTAGCTGATCTTTCATTTTGTTTTTCACTTCATCCTCTCCTCTATTTCTTCTTACTCTGTCCAACCCCTCCTTTCTCCACACCTTGCACCCTCCTAGATTTTCCATTTGCCTCCCTTCTGCCCCACCCAAGTTCCCTCTTCCTCTTCCTCCATAGCCCTCTCATGAACCTATTGCCTGTTCAAACTTCCTCCTCCTCCATGTCCTTACTCCCCACCTCTTCCACACACTCTTTCCTGCTCCCTTCCAGCATCTACCATAACCCTACCTCCCTCGTCCTCAACATCCTCCTGTCCCTTCCTCTTCCATGTCCTCTTTCCTACTCTTCCCCCAGCATCTACCTTCAGGCCCCTGTTAGCTGTCCTTACTTTCTTCTTCCTTCCATATCACCCAACCCCTTCTCTCCTGTTTTCTCTTTCTACCTCCCTCTATGTTTATCCTTTCACCCCCCTGTTATCCACTGTTACCCATGTCTCCTTCCATCTCCCCAATCCCTTCATTTCTGTGCCCTTTTTCTTACTACTCCTTACCTCACCACTTCCTTTTACTCCTTGCCTCACTTTCCCTAACATGTACCCCCCACTCCCTAGCTTCTACTTCTTTCCTACCTTCTCCCACTGCTGTCCCCTCCCTGAAAGGAGACATGAATAAGATACAACAATCAGTGAGACTCACCACTTCTGAGAACAGGTTGACGTAGGGCAGCCTTGAAATCAATACAACTGACTGGAAGACAACAAAACAAAAAATATCATGAGATATCACAATTATGAACATTCTTGAAAAGAAAACACAAAATATAAGAGATAAAAAACAAAATCAAAACCTATCTACAGTGTATAAAGAGATGTGGGCAAAACAAGACAAATTGTGCAGTCTGAGAGTGAATAACTGGAAACAGATAGACCTTTTAGGTTGAAAAGAACATACTAAAAAATTCCACAGATTTTGTAAGATGCAGGACAATTAATTACCTTTTGAAAGTAACCCCTCTGAATAGAAGGATCTTTAACTTGACGGAAATATGCAAAGCCATAAAAATGAGCAGGGTCACTCTGCAAAAATGAAAGCACACAGAAAATTCATGCTATGCTTAGTGCATTCATCAAAACACCAATCCTTTTGTGGCATTGACATTGTATATATTCATATACTGCACACTCAGCTAACTAAAAAAGGCACTTAAGGCAAGTAATTAACAATTAGTTATTGGACAAAGTTAACCCTTAAACCCATAAGAGCAACAAGCATCCAAATTCTTTATTCATCATCACTAATGAATGAAACATTATGGTTATGAGAGTACAGGAAATGACCACCCACACAAGAAGCTCTTGATTGTGCAACAAATTCTCCTTGTTAGTCCATGGGAAATGTATAGAGAACAGGAGGAAGAATATGCATACTGATGGTATGGTGTACGGAGTTAAGAGAAACATTGTTATTTGAAAGTAATAAGCTAATCCATCAAATGTAAACAAATACCAGTCAAGCCATCAAAATATTAGCTGTTACCAATGCTGTGCTGTCTGGGGTCAGATGACCCACAATACAACAATACAATAGGATTGACACTGACCACAACTTTAATCAAAGCATGCTCCTTACAACAATGTGGCCCGTTGACTCTCATGTCCCATAGTCCTAATGATGTACATGGAACATTATAGATACCAACAACAGTTCTTTACAGGACTAATATCCTCACCTATGGGTCTGTACACAATCAGAGCACATGCCTGACCACAAGATACCGATAACAATGAATCAAAGTTTATGTAAAATAACTGCATACCCTATATGCTAGTGGAACTTCATCTTCAAATCTTGTCACAAGTTGGCTCCGCTGGCAACTACGAGGACTACATCTGATGCGGAAATGAAACTGGGTATCTCCCATGCATCCTGCCAGAGAAATATCCCAACAAAACAGACTATTAATTGCAATTACTTCAGATCCACTTAAAACACTTATCAACAAAACCTCCTTGCTTCTGATGCTAGAAGATGCAACCTAATGCTGGGGATCCCAGGCTACCAAGGAAGAATTTTTAAACCTTTAACCCTCATATGACTTCTTCCTGTTATAACAGTAATACATATCCACTAAGCTGGTGATGAGAATATTCAAACTTATCTGGGAAAAGTTGTTGTCTTGATCCTAGCTAACATCAAATCCTCATAATTATTTACCAAGGAAATGTGTAGCAGCCACAGTGAAGAACTAACAATCTGATTGTGTGCATGTTGAATCATATCTTGTTATTAATAAAGCTCTCTGCATTAGATGTTAGAAGAAGCAACCTAAAGCTGGGAATCCTTAGCCACCCAAGTAAGATTCTTCAAACCTTTACAAACATTCTCTACCTGAGTTTGAGTCAGGAAAGGCCAGATAACAGATGCTTGTTTTCTGCAAGTGGAATAAAAACAGTCAGCCACAAAATAAAAGGATATAGAATGATTCTCTTCTCAAAATCACCAAGCTTTGTTTTAAACTGAACTTGCATATTTCTTTCTCACTATCAGTAGTACATGCTTGTAAAAGAAGTAGCAGTTGATATCTTTTTTTTTAATTGCCCTTTTTGTTTACTTGGAAGCAAAATTATATAACTTTCAAGTCAAGTCAATTTTAAAAAATTGACACAACATTTACAAAGACTACATTGTTCTTTTTTTACACTAGGTCATACACATTTGATGTGGAAGTGGGTTGGCCTCATGGTTAGTGCACTCGACTCTGGATCAAGTGGTCCGGGTTCAAGCCCCCTGCCAGGGTCATTGTGTTGTGTTCTCAGGCAAGACACTTTACTCTCACAGTGCTTCTCTTCACCCAGGTGTACAAATGGGTACCAGCAAATATGCTAGGGGTAACCCTGCGATGGACTGGCATCCCATTCAGGGGGGAGTAGCAATACTCCTAGCTGCTTCATACTAAGCAAACCAGAGTTAAGTGCTGGCCCCATGGGCCACTTGGACCTGTATAATAGCTTTACTTTTTACTTACATACACATTTTTGAGAACAGTAAAAAGATTAAAATGAAAAAATAATTCATGATTCATTATGGCAAAAAAATTGATAAAGATGGTGACAAATCTTTTAATACAACATCAAGTTTAACTTTGTATGACTGAGACCTTTTTGAAAGCCAGCTGTCTTAAATCTCTTAGATCTTACATAAAAATCACATAAATTATCAATTGAAAGTACATGCATATCAATTTTGCATGTTAGCTATGAATAAAATAACCAAACAATAACTACATGTATAAGTGCCAGCAAGTTGATCACTTCTTTAACTTTTTTGTTACCTGTCAGTTTGATAGCACATCAAAATTGCATTTATTGATTTACTTGAGAACTAATCACTCTCATGGGTAAAAGTGGAGATTCACATCGTTAGCCAAAGGAAAACAGCTATAAATATTACACAGACATTTACATATCATTTTTTGTAGATCTCTTTTATCATGTAAAAAAAACATTACACTGTTTTTCAGCCATCTGAATGTTTAGCGGCTGCCAAATTTAAAGGTCTCAATTATAAAATAAATATTTACTTCTGAAAATGTCTAATATTCTGCCTCAAACAACTGCAAAGAAAACAAGAGATAGTGATAACCACCCAACAAAAAAATTGTTCAAACCACTTTAAATAGACACAGCTTCAATTAGTCATAAATTTCTGGTATCTAAAATGTCACAGGATCCCAAAGCTTAATTTTCCAATCTCCATCTCAGATTTCATCATATTTGATGATCAATATAAATGTAGTGTTTGCCCTCATCAACAAAAGTTTCAACATAGACAGCAAGAAAATAATTCCAAAAAAATCATGTATCTAAGCATCCCTATCGTCATCACTGATGTATCATTTAGACTTCTTCTTCGACAGAGGATCCAATATATCTAAGGAAATCCCATTTTTTGGGGTATTTTCCACCAAAGGTCAAGGGCGCACAGAAGAACAACTGTAAGCGATTTATCGTTATGTAAAATGAATGACTAAACAAATTTTACGGTGAAAAAAAATTAATAGAGATGAAAAGTTTTAGAATAATATATTGTCCACTGATTTGGCTGGAAATTAATTCAATTTCTTGGTAAGAACACGAACCAGCACAGACGGGTAAACAAAAAATGATTTAGTTGACAGAATCACAAGAAAACTATTCTACAATACTATCAAACCAGACTATGGCCATTTAAATTACTTATGAAATAAACACACAGACTGGCGTAAGAGAAACGAGCCATAAATTACATTAGGTTGATCAAAGAATAAAATGGAATGTACTATGTACGTACAATAATTCATGGCCCGAAGGTACTTACGTGTGTTTGCTTTATGTATATCTTACCTCACGGTCTGTTAGTTCAATATGTTCGGGATAAACCAACTGTAACAAAGAAAAACCAGAAAATCCGTTACAAACTCATCATAACCACATGTTTAATTATGCTGTTTTCAGCGCTCAAGACTGCGCGTTTTTCGAACCGTAAATCACATCAATGAAACACTCGCTGCGGCCCACCTCTAACGCTTGACCAAGCTCTAAGTCAAACGTCACAATACAAAAGCATGTAACCCATCTTCTAAAACGATCCCACGGTAAAATTGGACCATCGTATTCACTACGAAGGAACATTTCTTCCCAGTCGCATTCCGCCATCTTTCTTGAGGAACCATCTGTGTTTTCTCCGGCGGATATTCGGTTCTCTGACGTCATTTCCGGTAAAACGGCAGCTGAGAGCTCGCGACGTCTTCCGGGAAATAAACATTTCCTCGTGCTCACTTGTTGTTCCAACATGGCGTCATGTAGCGATGGACAGAAATTACGACAGATTTCCTATTCCGACGAACTTTTACATCTTCCAATCAAGCATGGTAAATCCACTGAGCCTAAATATATAATTTGTATCATCTACGTAGCTTAATTGCGAATCGTTTGGCGTTATTTCTCGCTAAACTAGTACTTTTGACTTGGTCTAATTTTTTGTTGTCGTAGAGAATTCCAAGCTTCTGATAACTAGGAAAAGCAAGGTGGAAAATAGAATTCCTGTACAGACCTGCAAACCGTCTTCAGGTAATATGCCGCTATGATAAAATACAGTTTACCGTGGTGAAGGCTTCCTTCCTTGTAGAGATGCATGATTCCAATGTTGATACCCGATATGAAACTTTAAATTTTCATACGCAGATCAGAAATAAGGTTAAAAGACGATGAGGTGTTTATTAAAGACAATTTATACTTAACATTACTCGTGTTAAATGCGGTGGCTTAACCCATACACCCTAACGTCAGTATGCATATTCTGCTTACTGTTCTCGATGAAATATCTTACAAGTGTAATTTGTGTGATAATCGAGGGCTTTTTTGTTTTATGAACATTTCCTTTATTCTCGTGACCTTCATGTGTGATTCAGGGGTGGTGTTCGTTGTAGGGAGAAAATAGATTTTAGTCACTCTTAGGATCAATGGGCAAATGATTAGCTTGTTAGACCACGCTCTGAAAGGTTTGAGTATGAATCCATCTAGTGAGGAGTTGTGTAAATTTATTTTTTATTCATTTCTTCATTCATATATTACTGTAATGGCTCTCTAAACTGGTGAAAAATCAATACAAGAAGGGGTAAAATGCCATATAAAAACAGTTCACCATGCAAGATGCAAACTTGGCTTAGAATCACTGGGTAGATGAAATTTAGCAATGTGTCAGAGTCTATACACTTTCTTGTTACCCAGGGGAACCCATAGATGCAAATGAGACTTGGGTTTGCTTGATAAAGCTTTCAACTCTTTACTCATATTCTCCCCACTGTTCTCTATACATTTCTGAGGATACTGTTAGGGAGGATTTGTTAGATGATCCAAGGTTGCTCAGTGGTTGGGGATGTCAGATCATCTTGTTTATTCTCATAACTTTGATGTTTGTTTAGGGGATGGTATTGTTAGAAGAAGTTAGATGATAATCAATCCAAGGCAGCAAGTCTTTAGACAGACATCAGCTTCCTCTTTGAGCTATCTGGGCCTAAAAATAAGGAAACTACATCATAACACTTAACCCTTAAAACCCTTACCTTGGTGTTCATATCCTCCACACTGTTCTCTTTATGTTTCCTCTACTACTGATAAGGAGAACTTGTTTGATGATCAGGAGCTTCCTGAATGCGTGATCATTTTCTTTATTGTTGTGACCTTTAAATTTGATTGAAGATACTTACTGTCAGACCAAGGGATGAAAGGGTTATCATAATAATAATAATAGTTAATCTTTATTGAGGATGCCAACATCACAGAAAGAGTGGTTTACAGAAGGGTCCTCTAGACCATAAATCATAACTAGGCAGAAGGGAGTCTGTTACAATGCCAATAACATAGGGATTCAGGATTTTTTCTTTGTCCCACACTCATGAGAAGACACAAAAAAACATGAAATTAGAAGTTCCTCGCAGCTAAGAACACTACTGAAACTAGTAGTTGTAAGTAGGACCTGAAAAAAATTTCAGGCCCGTACGGGATTTGAACCCATGACCTCTGCGATACCGGTGCAGCGCTCTACCAATTGAGCTAACAAGCCAACTGGGAGCTGGTCAATGAATTGGGTCCAAAACATCTTTCTCTATTTCTTTACCAAGCTCAAAACTTACCATTTTTCTTATTCTATTTACAAAACATGACAATATTGACCTTGCTGATCTTAGCAGTATGCAGGATGTGTGTCATATATGAACTTTGTAATGGGCCTTTCTCACCATAGAGTCTTTGTGGCTCAGTGGTTGAGCATCAGAGCATGGAATCCAAAGGTCTGAGGTTCAGTTCCTCATAGGACTCAGAATTTTCTTTTTCTTGTCCCACACTTGAGACAAGATTAAAAAATATCTTTTGCAATGCCATGAACAGTATTTTTTCTTACAGTTTTAAGCCGTGTGAAGGATTTCTTGCCTGTAATGAGAGAAGCAGAGTTAGCATTGGAACAAGAACTTCAAGTGAAGTCTCCCACTGAATTGGATATTGAAAGTGTTGACGATGGTGCTCCATTTATTGAAATGGTAAGCATAACCCTCTATACCCTAACATCAGAATGTATATTCTTCCTACTGTTCTCTATAAGAGGTGAGGTGCTGACAAGGAGAATTTGTTGAAAAATCAGAAGCTGCCTTAGTGGGTGATCATTCCCTTGACCTTGATGTTTGATTCAGGGATGATATTGTAAGGAGAAATTAGATGTTAGTCACTCTTAGGGCCAAAGGATTGAGAAAAAAAATGCATCCCAATTATTTTCTGCAAGTAAGATTGCGTGCTGGAGCACCCAGCCACCAGATGCATCGCATGCACTAGAAGCAAGGTGTTTTTGGCATTGATGTATTATTTTTTCTTAATTGTGTTTGTCTTGTAGGACAAACAGCTTCAAACAGGGGGCTGCTTTCATTCTAGAAATTAAGTATCTGTCATTATATTTTGGGAGGTAGTATTAGAGGTAGCAGTCCCTCCTTTCTTGGCCAAATCTGTCACCTGAGTCTTAAAAAAAATCAGTGAAAAAAATTGATGTTGACGTGCCATATGGAACTCTGGGAGTAAGACGCAAGTAAAGTCCTCTTCTTATGGACTTTGCTGAAATGGAGGGAATGCTTCCTGGTCTGTTTGAGGGGGGGGGGGTTGGGGGACATGTGTGATATGTGTTTTGTTCCTCTCTCAGCAATGATAATGTTACTCCAGATTTTATGTCAACCTCGACCAACATTTGAATGTGTATTTAATTCTTATTTTTAATTGAATCATCTTCATTGCATAGAATCTTGCATTAGTGGAAACCCAGAGCGACAGCAACGAAGAATCTTCAGAAGAAAATGATGAGGATATTTGTGGAGACTCTGATGAAATTGCAACCCATGAAATAGACTGTGGCCATGTTACAGAAGAGAATTTTGTTATCACAAAACCGGTGAAAGGACTTGTTAAGCCAATTATTGAAGAGGTGAAAACACTGACAACGGATAGCACACTTCTACGGCAAAACACACAGAAAACTACAACGAAAAAAGCGAAAAGGAGGAGGAAAAGGAGATGACACGAATTTAAAGTCGATTCACATAAAATCTTCAATTTAATATAATCTGGTTTGATATTAATTATTTTTCCAGTGACTATTTCTGTGAGATTTACTGTATGTAGGCCAGGTTTACACTTCCAATTTGAAAACGGCGTTTTTACCTCGAAAACGCTGCAATAACTTTTGGCCTTATTGGGAAAACGAATGGAATGTTTACCGTTTACATTACGTCGGATAACCTTGTAAAAGTTCGTCATCACTGGACAACTTATTCGGACGAGTGTGGACAGGATTATGTAGTCCTAATCAGAAGAATAAATTTGCATTTTTATAATAAGAGGTCTAGTGGACTCGAAAGTAAAGGGCTTGTGGTCGGTTTTTTTTTTTTTTTAAATTTTAATCCCTTCCCCCTCCTGTTTCGCACACGAGGTGACAAACGACAGAGAAAGAGACGAGGGAAGGATCATTAAAATACTGGTACTACAGGGCCTTGGCCGGGGGAGGATGGGGGGGGGGGGGGCAGGCAGGTAAATTTAAGGGTTGTCCGATACACACGAATAGATTCCATCGGAAAAAATATTTTTTCCATCGGAAAACTGGAAGTCGATTGGCAACTATTGGAAGTGGAAATGATCAAATACACCGGATGTCAATAACTTGATGATGTATATTATTCCATCGGTGTCCGATGGATTCCGATGGACACGAATCGAATCCTGTGGATTCCATCAGAGTAATCGATTTTCCGATGGTGAGAGACTGAAAAACTCTTGTTAAGGTCGAAGGTGGGCTTCGAAAATGTTATCCATCGTTGTCTTATGGTATCCGATGGACACGAATAGAATCTAGTGTTTTGCACCGAAATGATCGATTTTCCGCTGGTGAAGCAGAGGTCGAAAGTGTATCAACTATCGTATCAAATTGTGACGCACGTGGCCGTATCGAAAAGAAAATTTCACATCAGTTCATGGAAACGTCAACGCTTCCAAACAATATATTATAAAATAATTCAAATAGTACGCGCGCTCTGATTGGCCATAAAACCATTTTACACGAGTGTATATAAACACGGTTTTCGTTCCTCTTTCATTATGCATATCACTCTTTTAAATAACGCGTTTCACTCGTGAAGACATTAGTGGGAAAAGTGCTTTTTGGACTGAAATTGTGCTTTCATGGCATTTGTTATTACATCGAGTTTATAACCGTGATAACTTACTTGTTTTAACCTTTCCTGCGTGTCCACTCCTAATGTATGTACCAGGGAAGAAATGTAAAATGGTTTCCGTGTTTACATAGCCTGATGTAAACACGCGGGAGGTTGGGAGAACACGAGATAAGCGTAGGAAACCAAGACGCGAAGCAGAGTGGTTTCCAGCTTATCCTAATGTATGTACCAGGGAAGAAATGTAAAATGGTTTCCGTGTTTACATTTCCAGCTTATCGAGTGTTCTCCCAACCTCCCGCGTGTTTACATCAGGCTATGTATTATCACGGTTATAAACTCGATGTAATAACAAATGCTATGAAAGCACAATTTCAGTCCAAAAAGCACTTTTCCCACTAATGTCTTCACGAGTGAAGCGCATTATTTAAAAGAGTGATACCTCTTACCGCGCGCACGATGATTGACACAATGCTTTGTTAGTTTTCAAAATTTTGATCGAGCGCGCCATCATTATGATCAGAATCATTATTCGCGAGCGTTTTGGAACTAGCTCTAAACCTCAATAAGAGCCAATCGTATGATTGAAAGGTGGCATACAGACAACGTTGTCGTTGTACTCACTCCTCAAGGAGGAGAAAATTGTTTTGACAGAATATCTGCTCATTAATTGTAGAATTTAGGTTTCAAACTAATACCAGTTTTGAGGAGATAGATTTATTCTACCAGTAGGCCTCTTCTTCGATTAAATGCAAGTGCAATTTGAAAATTTTTTCATATAAATTGACTGAACAACGTTGCAGAACGTAAGGAATCATGTTTGTTTTCAAAACAAATCCTCTTGTATACGCCATTTCGTAAGTCTTCGGTGCCAAAAGATTATAAAGATCAACATAATCTTTGTCGGAGCAGATAACTTTTAACAATTTCGCTGTTAGGAAAACGCTCATATGTTTTCTTTGAATTTATCATCTATGCAATAGTTAAAAGAGACAGTCCAAGCTTGATACTTTTTGATATTGTTTGAGTTGTTTATTTAACAATTGGTTCATGCTCAACAAGCTAGAGTTACCCTCGGCTATTGCCTCGGGCAACTCTTACGCTTCTTTCGTGCTCTCCAAACTTCCCACGTGCTCCATAACTCGATAGTGCACAGCTAAAAGCATGAACCAATTGTTTTATAACATAGCCGGTGGAATTGTGCATCAAATCCGACGCGAAAAACGGACAACAATATCAGAAGAAATTGTTTGCGGTAAGCGAAATATTAAGCAAAATAGGAATTGGTTTTATTTCAAATTTTCTGTTGAAAGCTCGAGTTTTAAGCTCGGAAAAATTTATGCTTACCTTTGAAGGTTGAAACAGACCAGTTTGTCATTTGTTTGGTTTTACCAGAGTGTCTTTCTGTCAAAAATTGTCGCATTTCACCCTCGGACAGTGGAGCGAATCGTGACGGCGCTGATGCTGAGTCTCCTTTTCCGTTGTTTTTCTCTTTTACTGCCTCATTTTAGAACTCTCGTCCAAGGGAAAAGGTCGGAAAATTGTCTTCGTTTTGGGACTGGTGGGCCGAGTCTCTGTTTGTATCCATTATTGTCGCGAAATATATTATTTTTCCCCGCGCTAACAAAGGCCGCTCCCGCGAAAAAAAAAAATTTCTGGCGAAGCGATTTGCTCACGCTATCAGCGTGCACTACCGGGATTTTGAGCACGTTTACGTATACTGAATTTGATTGTGCGGCTCTGCTAGCTTTGTTACAATTTATAATAAACTATCAAAACATCCCGTGCTCCCCCTGATCAGATGATACACCATGTTCATGCCATGATCTGTTTGTCATTTTCATCGCAAAATCACGTACCAACGCCAATTGTTTCGTTTTTGACGGATGCACAGTACTCAAAACACTTTCAAAGGTCTGGAAAATGAAGCTACGTTTTCTTGGAATGGATTGCTACCTACATTAATCGTGAAGGAAAAACCAAGATAAATTTGTTTACATCTTTCTTTTTTGGTGAATTTTAACACTTACGTTGTTGCATCTATTTAAGTGAAGGATTCATTTTAGGAGAGAGCAATACAGAAATCCCGTATTGAACTCTGCAACCAATCTACAAATATGACATTTTCCCAACAGGAACAAGATATTTCTTTGCTTAAACTTCTGGTTTGTTTTTCTTTTCAGACAAGCTCTTTCACAGTCTAGTTCAACAATTCGTGCAATAATTCTACGCTATTTCTGCAATTTTGCATCTCGACTTTTGTGTAAGCCCCATCTTGAGGAATTCAGTAAAAATGGAATATTTGTGTATTGTAGCTAATTCCATTCGGGATTTTAGTGCGTCCAATACCCTATCTTTTGACCAACCGGTTTACAGATGAATGTAAATATCCATGATCTCGATTTAAAGAGATTATGTAGAGGGCAATACAAGCTTTGACACTGCACTCCTTCGAACGTCAGGCATTATTTAACAATTGGTTCATGCTTTAGCGTGCACTATCGAGTTATGTAGCACGTGGGAAATTTGGAGAGCACGAAAGAAGCGTAAGAGTTGCCCGAGACAATAGCCGAGGGCAACCCTAGCTTCTTGAGTGCTCTCCAAGCTTCCCACGTGCTTCTGGTTTTATTTTTTTTTCCCGACAAGCTCTTTCACAGTCTAGTTCAACATTTCGTGCAACAATTCTACGCTATTTCTGCAATGTTGCATCTCGACTAGCCTGTAAGCCCCATCTTGGGGAAATTCAATAAAAATGGAATATTTGTGTACTGTGGCTAATTCCATTCGGGATTTTAGTGCGTCCAATACCCTATCTTACCAACTGGTTTACAGATGAATGTAAATATCCATGATCTAGATTTGAAGAGATTATGTAGAGGGTAATACGAGATTTGGCACTGCACTCCTTCGAACGAAGAAGCTAGAGGTGCCCTCGGCTACTGCCTCGGGCAACTCTTTCGCTTCTTTAGTGCTCTCCAAACTTCCCACGTGCTACATAACTCAATAGTGCATGCTAAGGCATGAACCAATTGTTAATTAATGCCTGACGTTCGAAGGAGTGCAGTGCCAAATCTCGTATTGCCTTCTATATAATCTCTTCAAATCTACTGGTTTCTCAGATTCGCAAGTGGTTCCTTATCGCGATCCAGCCATCAAAGGATAAAGGCGCCCTAGAATTCTGGAGTGAAGATGTGAGCATTGATCTCAATAGTGCGATTCCAATCAGATATTTTCAGCCAATCACAGGCCTGAAAAGTGGGACGACTTTCATACCGCCATATATTGGTATGCCCTTTGAAAGTAGGTATACTATGAGAGGATCACGATGCATGATACAGTTACTGCAGACTCGTGGCGGAGGATAGAACACCAGTCGCTCTGTTTGAAGTTAACATGAAATCTATTTTCATTTTCCTGTTCGTTTCAATTCTTGGGTTGTTGGCCGTGAAGAGAAGTGCTGCAGGTAAGCTTATTCATTTCCCTGTGCTTTTAAAACGAAGTGCTTCAGTCGTTTACGCATAGTACGTGTTTTTGCACGGCTGTGTGGTTTCCTGTAAGGAATTCTTTAAGTCTCGATTCAAGTCCGATTCGCATGAGCCGTATATATGATTAATTAATATACTTAAATAGGATTTCTAGCTGTTTCTACAGCCCGTCGGTCATACGGTCGATGCTGTTGCGCATGGGAACACATCCACCGTTACAGCGAGGACAGTTCAGCGTCACAACAGTTAGATAAGCCGATTCAACATAGATAAAATTATCTCATTCACCCCACGCTCACACCGAAGTATATGTGTGAAAGAATTCACAGGCGCGAGTCTTGGTCCAAAGCATGGTTCGTGACTTTGCTCGTCAATCGTGCGGTTGATGCCGTTGGGCTTGGGAACACATTTACCGTTACAGCAAGGACAATTTAGCGTCACAACAGTTATATAAGCAGATTCAGAATAGATAAAATGATCTCATTCACCACGCGCGTTCAGACAATTTTGTGCTGAAATTCCAGCCGGTCTCTCCAAAACAGGACGTTTGACTGTCGGTGCTCTTGATGTTCTAAACTGCTTTTCCTGCTGTTTGGTTGGTCCCTGTCTTTTCCTCTTAGTTGGTGAAATTTGCAGCGTAGAAGGCCTTTTGGTGA